TATGATAATTTATTTGTATTGATTTGGGTTTTTAACCAAGAGAGTTTTCTTTCAATTCTGTTTCATTTAACTGTGAATTAAGCAAAAGGAGAATAACACAAATGACCTTTATGGAGTTCATGTGAGAGTTATTCAGTCAAACAAATGTTTTGAAACTATGTTTGCATCCTTGTACGAGGGGAATACCCATTCTTGTGGCTGTGGTAGTGAATCATTCTCCGAGCAGTGTGGGAGAGGCAGAAACAGACGGAGATAGAAACATTGAGGGCATCAAAATGGCTGTGTACTATAACAGGAAAGAACAACGTAGTCGGAAGGATTGACTCGTGTCGTTTGTATGAAAAATGAACTCGGCTGGGAGACATATTATGGCACTTGAATAGGAGGAAGGTTGAACTCTGTATAAGTCCTTGTTTCAGCTTTTAATTCACACACACATATCTGATGAAAGACACAATCCAGACCGAACCATTGGCTTCGTATTGGTTGTACTGTGTTGACACTGCTGGAAACTTTCCAAACCTCTTTGTGGCAGCAGAGGGTGCAGAGAGTAGGGACGCCACCTTTCAAATAGAGGGTCTGAGTTCAAGACTCTGCAACAGGAAGCTTGTGGTCTGGGAATGAATCAATGAATGGTCCACGAAAAGACAAAGTCTCCACAAGCTGCTGACCGTGATCTCTGATCTGCCTGAGGAGGGCAATCATGGCGAACCACAGTGTGCCTATGAAATCTAAAAATAAGCGTACAATGAATTGATTACATTTATCACCCATTGCTAAACGGTAGATTTATTCATTTTTCTCTGTTCTGTTCAAATGTAGAAGCAATCTACCTCTTTAGACATCAGATGTAACTAATGTGAGTCCAGCTGCGAACACATTATCCTCCCCTTTGTTAATCGTGGCCCAGCTTGCCTTCATGTTTTACTGACTTTGTTTCACACTGTGACTCAGACAAAAGCAGAAAGGAACCTGCGCAACCTACACGTTAAGAGTGATGAATAATTCGAAAAAGATCTGGAAAAAGCAATGCAGCAGAGCTTTTTTCAGTGGGTCACGTAAAAGCCTGACACTCCAACCACTGATATTCAGCCCAAACAACTCGTGCTCTCTGTGCCAAGTGAAGCACAACCAAGGATGATCCGAAACTACTAATGTATCAGCATCGACTTTACATCAGAGTTATCATGAGATTCTTGGAAATAATTATTGACGAGATTAACCTCCCTCGGTTCTTAAAAGCAGTGGTGGATGAAGTACTCAGATTTCTTACTTAAGTAAAAGTAGCAATACTAAATTGTTAAAGTACTCAGTTACAAGTAAAAGTCCTGCATTCAAAATCTTACTTAAGTTTAAGTACAAAAGCATCAAATTACTATTTCATCTGTTTTATTTGTTCTATGTCCTATATATATATATATTCATGTTGCTCTGTTGGAGCCTGTGACCTAAGTTTTTCATTGCCATATCTACACTGTAGCTAATGTGCAAATGACAATATAGCCCTGAATCTTGAATCTTATACTTAAAGTACCAAAAGTACTTGTCATGCTTATGGCCCATTTCAGAATCATATATATTAAATAACTGGATTATAATCAGTGGTGAAAGAAGTACTCGGATTAATAATATTGTTACATCAATTAGCATTTTACTTTTATAGACAAACAAACGTTTGATGCTCAGAACTTTCTGTATTATCTTGTATAATTTTACTTTTTTGTACCTTAAATGGTTAGTCCACTAATTTACTCTGAAGAGATGTATTATGATATACATTACGTTTATCACATGTTCTTTAATGCAAAATATTCATCTGAAAAGTCACTAAAGCTTGATAAATAATACATTAAAGGTGGGGTATGTAATTTATTTCAGAAACACTTTTTGTTATATTCCATGGAATGCTCTTAACACCCCGATAGCAATTAATATCTTAAATGCTTTGACAATACATTTAAAAAAGATTCATCTGTGGAAGCCGTAGTACTGTAAAAAGCATCTGAGCTGGCCCGGCTAAAATAACTGGATGGCCTACCTGCCTGTCAGCCTTCCATCTGTGCACAAACTTATCTCGTGCCCTCATTGGTCATGTGCGCGTTCATGTGTGTTGGAGGACGGGGCTCTGTAAGGAAGTGGCAGATTTCTTCCGGGTTGTGTATTTTCAAATTCTAGCGCACTCGAGCTGGTTTCTCAAATTACCTACCCCACCGTTAATGAAAAAATGTAGTGGAGTAAATAACCTACTTGTCCTTAGTGGAGTTAAAGTATAAAGTAGCATTACATGGAAATACTCAAGTAAAGTCCTTTAAAATTGTCCTTAAGTACAGTACTTGAGTAAATTGACTGTGTTACTTTCCACCACTGCTTAAAAGTGGCAACGTATCAGGGTGAACTGGCCCAATTGAGCTCAATACTGTACACACACTGTTAACTTCTCCAGGCTTTGAAGATGAGCAGTGAGTTTGTATAATGCGTCAACATAACTTCCGCTGGGAATCCTCTGACAGGAGGTAGGAGTCCACGAGGAGGTGGTGAGTAGGTACCGGGGTGCGGTTTCACCAGGAATACCCGCTCGCCCAACAACCCTTCTCCTTCTCTGTGTGGGTGAGTGCTTCCCTTTGTCAGTTACTCATGCACCTCCTTGTATATACACACCACTTCCCTCCTCCTCCTCTTCTTGCACACCCTGTAAACCCACACCTACGACAATCAGCAGCCCACGTCCTTCTAATGCAGTTCTGAGAGCATCATTCTCCCTTTTACTTGCAGTCAGGCTAACAGACGGGGAGAGAGAGCATGACAGATGGTGTTCACAGCTCTATTTCTGAGGCTGGACTTGTACCGCCACAGCCACCCCTCCCCTCCCCCCCTTCGTCTATTCCACTCAAGCCAAGTGCTTATGACTGCCTCCTCATCTTCGCCTCGGTAATCAGCCCATTCATTTGCAGGGTTATTGTGAATTAAAAGTCTGTGTCTCGCAAGGAACATCGCAGTTTACAGGTTAAACAGTTTCTCTTTTATACCACAGAGAATCACATCACGGCTCAACTAGCAGACTTGGTTATTTTGAGAAAGAGAAAGACAATGAATTCATGTTTTTAAAAATGTCATTTCTTCTAGGATTGCAGTGTAGTCTGCCTCTTGTGAATTTTAAAATCACTGTGTCAAAATACTCTCTTGTCTTATTAGTGAAAAGAGACCTGTGAGATGAACTGCGTTTATATTTTCTGACATAGTATGCAAGATGTTACTGTGAAAAGAGTTAGTTACTCATATAACACGAGAGTAATTAGATACTCATGATTTCATTGTTTTGTACTCTCATATCAATAACCGCCACCCACTGTCTTACCAGGATATCCTGTTCCTGTTCATATCCAGGCTTTTCCCAGTGTAGAGTGATAGAGAAGTTGTATGCCGTCACAGGTGTACAATTTCAACCGGTGCCCACATTTTGAGGTTCATCTTAAGTGCACATCCAAAAGCTATTCCTTTAAATGCATTGATGTTGTACGGTACACTTTCCCTCGGTGTTGCCTATGTGTGCAAGAAGCAACTGGTGCAGTGTTAACTACAGTAGGGATGTAATGATACCAAAAACTCACGGTACGATAATATCGCGATAAAAAGTCCACGGTACGATATTTATCGCGATATTGAAAAATAAAGAAAAAAAAGGGAATTTTTTTTTGTAATTTTTTTTTTACAGATTTGTACAGCATTTTAGTAGGATAGTAGTATTTTAAAGTGTCAACAATATAATAATCAGACCCTGCAATAGAATAAATCAAGTTTCACTTTATTACTTAAGTAACTCAACTCTAACTCACTCACTCAGCATCATCAAGGTTATCTTTTAGGAATATGAGCATGTCCACATTTCCAGGTAGAAGCTGGGATGTTTGGGCGTTTACAATATCCCCTGCTGTGGAAAAAACTCTCTTGCTTGGTACTGATGTTGCTGGGACAGAGAGATATGCTTTGGCCATGGGTGACAGCAGTGGGTCAAACTGTGCATTGTCTCTCCACCACTTCAAAAACAATACAGTTTTTGCCAAGAAGGTGAGGCTTATTGACAGGGCGAGGTATAAATATACTGTTGGTACTTGTCAATGTCTCTAGGTATGTACATGTAGCCCTGTAAATACGATGTCCTTTTGTGTTATCTGTTGTTTTATGTTCATGTTGTAACCTACTTGCTGCCATGTTGGACAAGTCTCCCTTGAAAAAGAGATCGATGATCTCAATGGGACCATCTGGTTAAATAAAGGTTTAAAAAAAGAAAATTATAAATAAAAAAAAAAAAAGATATTCGATATATCGTTACATCCCTAGTTGTTTGTGATTTATTGTGCCTAAAACTAAAATGAATGCAGAAAGACCTTCAGAGACATTTATGTAAGCAGTGAGCACTGTTTATTAAGCCTCTAGTCCAACTATTATGTGTTCTACATCACAACATTTTACATTCCACATCAATGTAACAGTAAATTATGTAATAAACCAGAACACAAAACAACACAACACAGTCTACAGGTAATAATCCTAAAGAAGCACTGGCTAAAATATTTCAAAACATTATCAAAGTTTTCACAAATGTTTGCAAGTTTGGTCTTGGTACTAGAAAGAAAATATAAATCAGTTGAGATCTCCGGAGAGACGTGCTGATGTAGGACTGTCTGTACGTTCATACAGTACGAGCAGATCTCAGACCTGCATCAGCGCTGCCGCTCAGAGGCGCTTCACTGATATGGCCCTGGTACACAGTCAAAATGGAAGTACCAATTATTCCCGGTATTTGTTTTTTAGGAAAATCCCTTATAAAATTGAGAAAAATATCAAAAGAAAACTATTATAAAAAATACTCTATCGACCATTCCAATATAAAGACAATGAAAACAGGTAGAAAGTTGAAGGGTAATTCACAAAATGTTGCAACCGATGGTCAGTGACATTCAGTGGAGCGTGTGCAATCAATACCAAGTCTCATTACATTTTTTCCTGATTTTACTATTCATGTGTGCAAGCAGGGAATCTAGCAAGCAGAGTTTGATAAAACACAATTAAGGAACAATCTATACATTATATTAAGACGTCTCAACTTTTATGTACACCCCAACTCTTGTGCTAAATGTTCTGCCTCAAAACAAACATATGCTCTCAGTAGCCTATGGAATGGTCTATTGTTAACCAAATGTTCACATAAGCCTATCCTTCTACATTTATCCTCCTGACAATCAATATTTAGACAGCAAGGCTAATATCGCATGGACAACTTCACTGCAATGTCTTGGTGGTGATCAACATGTTACAATAACATTATTGACTTCTCATTAGATTATGTAACACCAACGTATCAAAGTGTAGCGTGTCCAAACTCAGACATTTGTCCGCACAGACTTAAAGCAGTAATTTCCAATAACATTCTGCAGTAAAATGACAATTATTTTTGCACCGTACAAAGTTTTTAAAGGACCTTGCATAGATAATTGACTTTGCATTCAGTTTTTGCAGTACTGTGTGTTTGTATTGTTTTATACTTTGTCCAAAATTCATAGTTTTTCATAAGGAGCAATGCATTACATGGATTATAGCCACAGACGGGCCCAAGCTCATCATGTATTGTCACTTTTGCTTATATTTAAGTAACATGTCATTAAGCGAAGAGGATCCCACAGGTAAAGCTGACATGTATAGGAACAGCAGACTTTGATTAGAAATGGACGGTTATAATGGATTTATGAAGAAACTGGGACAAAGTGAGAAGCTAAAGAACACTTTGTTTGATCTAAATTTACTTAAACATTATTCTTCAAGCAAAACAATATGACTATTCTATATAAAAGAGAACCCAGGACTGCAGCACTCTTGATGAGTTGTTCATCATTTGATTGAGTCATTTATGCCGGAGCTGCTACATTTTGGTTTGTTAAGAGATTGTGGATAAAATGGTGGATAAAATAACAAAAACGCAAAACGAAAAAAGCAACCTTAAACCAAAAGCAGCTACACAGACAACCGGTCATCTAAAAACTGCGGGGCAATAAGTTGTGTTGATCATGAAGCAAACAGATCTTCATTTTTACACTGCATTGCATTTAAAGGGAATTGATTCCTGAAGAATGGTTCAACTTCAGAGGACAGTTACAACACCGTTCACAACATCCCTTAAAGCTGCACTGAAGGGAAAATGTGTTTGTTGATTTATCCACCATCCAACCTAACTGGACATCAGTTAGATACAAAATGTCTGCTATTCACTATTAATACCTTCCTGCCTCAATGATGACTCAGCAGAAGCATAGCCTTTTCAGCCAAAGCTTAGTTCACATAAAGCAATATAAATGTAACTGCAGCTACCATGGAAAAACGTTTTGTGAATACATCACCAAAATAAAATGTATTATTGGGATATTTCGGATGCTATGGATAATTGAACAGATATTTATGTTTGCTTTCCCATCATTATTTGAATAATACAATCTTTTAAATACAAGCATGACCTGAAGACTTGTTTGATTGACATATTGCATGTAGACAAGGGTTCATATTCCACATCTTGAGAAGGAACATCTGTACAGTTAACCATGCATTGCAAAAAAACACTTTAAAACTTCAACAACAAAGTGTTGTAAACATAAGCATTCCTCCATCAGTATATTCTGGTTTGATGACATTATCCTGCTCAAAACCACATATTAGAACAAACCCGACAGTGTGGCAGTATTCAGTAACAAAGTGTTGTCATTATCAAACTTCATTCAGCATTTTGTTTGGTTTGTATTTCACAAATAGAGTACATGGGAGGCCCTAACAAGTTGGCTTTAATGGAGCATGATTGTTAGTTATGATAACAGATAAAATAACGAAAATATTCATAAATAAAACTGTATTTAAATGTCTGGGATTACTCTAGTCATTGAATGGAATGCATGATCATTAAAGTAAAGTAATTTAAATGTTAACAGGTTTCTATAGATCCTATCGCAGCACTGGTGTCATATTTCTCTATAAAGCCAAAAGCCTTTAAAGTTGTCAATGGCTACCAGGATAAAAAAACAGTCCAACTGAAGTAAATGACACACCTTTGACACACACATGCTAGAGACTGTTTAAGACAATAACTGAAAAACATACCGATGCATCAGGTTTACAGCTTTATCGCCGAACAACTGTGTAAAGTCTGAATATGAAGTAGCTATTTATCAGACATAATATCCACATCTGCCATTTCATTCATCAACAGAATGATGAAAGCTCACATTAGGCATTATTATGACAGAAAGATTGCTTGATATTAAAAACATCCTATTTTTCATCATTTAGAATGATAACTTTTTTTCCCGACAAAGATCAAAGAACAATGTGAAGTGACTGACTTCCTGTACTACCCGGCAAATAAGAAAAAATGACTTACAGTACATTCCTGATTTCTGTCAAGGCAAATTAATCATCTCATATCATGCTGACGGCAAGATGTTTGCTTATGAAGGTTATTACTTTAATAAAATAAAAAATGTGAGTCTCTGTGGCGGCAGGAATTGAGTTCAAAAGTTGCAGAGACCCCATTACATCACTTACAGTATCTGCAGAGCTTTTTATAATGTGGTATGATATTAGAAAACTAAAAAAGCTAAGCCCAGAGATAATCCATCATTTTTGTTCAGAAGTCTCCTTGCAGTGGTTCCCCTTGATATCCAACTATCACTTTCTAACGCATTCAAACCGTTATCAGCCTCTCTTTAGTTTAGTACATGCCTGCAAAGCAGCAACACAAATAAAACTGCACCTTATTTTAAAGTTAAAAGTGTTTTAAACATGGTTATCATATGTTGAAATGAAATGAGCTTTGATAATAACAGATGTGAAGCATGTAGTAATTCCTGCCACAAGCATTTAATTAGCACTACTTGACTTTAAACCACTAAGAAGAAGAATATAACGGTGAACACAGTACATAATAGATGTGTTTGCCCTGAGGCACTTGGTAGTGGCTTTGATAAAATAATTAAAAACACTACCTTTCCAGAAAAGGATTTGTGTAGTTGGTATAAGCACTCAAAGTAGCATTCAAATTGACATTCAAAGATAATGCACACGTGTGAGTGACCCCCTACACTGACAATCATTTTAGTGTTCGTCTAGAGTCGTAGTGTCAAGTGGAACTATGGAGAATATTAAAAATGCTACAGAAAAAGGTAGAAGCACAATATACCATGTGTGTACGTAGGAACTAAAACAAAGTGGGGATGTGATGGTTATGCTTTTTGGGGCATGGAGATAATAAAGAGACCAGAACATAGGGCCAGACGGCTCGATGAGGAGAGACATGGGAGCTGGGCATCAACACGGAGACATTCTACTGGGGGTAGTTGTTCTGTTGCCGGCGCTTTGCCGACCTCATTTTCTCAAAGCGTGACTCCATTTCCTCGAGGACTTTGGGGGTGTACCTTACCACCAGCTTCACTGTGCCCTGAGCGGCTTTGAGGAGCTCCACAGCTTTCTCATGGTGCTCCCCTTCCACACTCTGGAAGAGACACAGAAACCCTGTGTTAGTATTATGACAGAGAGGCATACAAACTGCAGTAAAGTCTACAGTTTTATGGGGTTATAATCTAAAAACTGTGGGTGCTTTTTACAAGGTGTGTCAACCTTTGGGAGAAACAATAACATCAGTACTTTATAGTTATTTGAGGGAATATAATTCCAACATAAGGTTTCTGCAGCACAGTTCCACCTCCCATATAAAAGTTTGTAATTTGGAAATGTTAATGGAGAGAACCAACTGAGCAATAAACAAAATTACTTGTATGATTATATTTGGCTGATCCTGGTATTTTCAATTAAGTAAAATTGCTGAATGCTGCGGTTATTGTGGAAGAGCTGTTAAGGTTACATACATTCACTTTTTCACAACAAAACACCTTCCCTGTATTCTTGAAGCCTTATAATTGCGTTAAATGTATTTTCCTTCCACATAAAACATTTAAAAGCCAATTTGAAGAATTTTGAAAACCTACTTTGTTTATATCCATATTTGGTTGCAAGCAATCTTTCCTCTTAGCTTTGTTGACACATGGCTACACTTAACGGCTTCAATTCTGAGAACAATCAGCTGTGATCAGTGGATGAGCCAAAAAAGAAAAGAAATAATTGGCAGGACTGAGTATGCCTCGCCTACAACAAGCTGAGTTTGATAAAACATCCGCAGAAGAGTGTGTCAGGCTTATCCTTCAAATGTAACCTCCTAGAGTAGATGCAGGGAATTGAACGTACCACCCCGTTGACAGAGAGAAGCTGGTCGCCTCTCTTCAGGCCTCCGTGTCGGTCAGCGATGCCTCCTGGGATGATCCGTGAGATGTATATTGGTGAGTTTTGCTCCTTTCCACCCATTATATTGAAACCTAGGCCTTCTTCAGTCTTGGGCAGTTCCACAACACGTGGATGAGAGTGCCCCTCACTTGCTGCGAAGGCTGCCACAGTAGCCTAGAAATAAAAACAGTGGTTTTGTTTAACCTTTGAGTAAGCAACTAGAGCACCCTTTAAGAAGCAAAATGTCTTCATTTAAGATAAGCAGAAGATGTATTTATTATTTGTTTGTTTATTCCACACATGGCAGTTATTTTAAAACAAAACATGTACACTTTACAAAACATGTACACTTTACAAAACATGTACACTTTACAAAACATGTACACTTTACAAAACATGTACACTTTACAAAACATGTACGCTTATACTGTTTGTTTTTTTATGGCGCATGGTGAAAAGGAGCAGGGAGAAGAACATCTTACAAAAGAATAACAACAAAATTAATGAAATAAGCATTAAAAAGTCAAATAAAAGCAGTATTCTTTCAGTCACAGTTGCTTACAAATACTGAAACATAAAACCAGAACACAATCAAAAGTCAACTTCATACGGTCTAAATATGCTTCCTTTATACATTTTCTTCAACATAAAAAGATGTGTATTAGATTTGACTTGGGCCTACCTTAGCAGTGGCGTTGGCCCTGACCTCAGGACTGCTGTTGATGTCCACCGTTTCATACACATGTTCGTAAACCTGAAGACATTGTTGGACAGTATTTCGTCACATCCCAGCAACAGCTACCCACATTTCCAAAAGGTGAAGAGAAACAGATCCAACCAAACCCTCTTTTTTAAACACTTATGCTTAACTCCAGAAGTTGAAAGTAAACAAAGGCCATCTCACAGTTAAGTGTTTAAGAAATAAGAAAAACAAAGTATCTCACTTCTCTGACAGCGTTACAGAATTCACTTTGTAAGACCCTCTGCAGCGCCTGCAGCTTCTGGGGCGGCACCTCCCCGGTCCTCTGGAGCTTATCCAGCAGTTCAACAGCACGGTTAATATCTGTCAACAAGAACACACACACATCCATCAAGGTTTCAGGAATATCTGCAAATGGAGACGATGATTAACTCCTCTGCAAATGTCAAAACTCAATCTGTTCAATTGAATCGTGGAAGAAAAGAAACAATGAATAGTTTAGAAATTGCTTTCTCTTACAAATCAATTAATGTCTAAAATGTTTTAATCATTTCCGTCAAATAACCCGTTTTAAATTAGTCTGATATTGAGTTTGTAATAACTTACACCACTGTTCATGTACCATCAATGAAACTATGAGACCGAATTATATGCTGCACCTTCATTATTTTAATGCCAGAACATCTTTAACATCATGTTTTACAAATGAGTATTTATCTGCCACCTCACACATGGGGTCAAACATTATCAGCTGCTCTTTCAAAATAAATTACCAACCAGTTGAAATGACATCATCATGAACAAAAACAAGTGTGATCTGTTTTTCCTCCATTACTCTGTTTTAATGTTTGTATATATAGTTTATCTTGTCCTATTTAAATAGCCAATGTAAGGAAGAGTTATTATTATCCTCAGTTAAGCTGGTTGTTGGTTATTGTTATACATTATTTCTCCTTTTAAACCCTTAAACTAATAATGTAAAAATAAAAGTACTACATTTGCAATTTCCCATGAAGAAATGTTTGGGGTGTTGTTGCAATTATTTATTCATTGTGATTTCTTTGGAAGTATAAACAAGTTGAAACAGTTAGAAAAATACGGTCTCCAATGTGAAAAACTAAATAATTTCAAAATATATTAAATCAAAGTCATTTTTCTCCTGCCACTGTTGTCTGTGCTAATGCAATTGATTTTGACTCCATTCAGCTTCCTCCAACATATTATATTGCATATACACTTCAGCCTTTATCAACATTACATGTGTGAGGGCTTGTGGAAATAAAAACCACAGTGTATTAGCATTTAGATGAATGGAAGACTAAGGGGCCCATAGACATATCAAGTACACAGAGAAGATATAACAGGATCATAGGCCTCCATCAGACTTCCTTTTCTTTGTTTTGCTACCCACCCCCCACAACTTCTATGGAGGGATGTATATGTCATACAATGTACCAACTCATCTCATATTGTACTTATTAAAGATGAAGGGTTTAAACCAAATAATATTCTTTAAAACATTGTATACCTTTTGTAAGGGTGGATAAACATTCCAAATACCTTGTATCTCAATTCCCTTTTGTATGGCGTGCAGCCTAATTGTATTATAGTTTATCCGTACATAGTGTGCAGAAAAAGCACAGTGTGTATTTATGTCTGTTTGTGAGTGTAGTGGTTAATATGTACTGAACGAAATCACTAAGACAATTAATGTAGTAAAGAAAAAAGGAGAACTATGGTTGAAAGAAGTATGTAAAATAAATATGTATTCCTGCTCATCCTGCTTATGATGATTAAACTGGTGCAAAATAGCTTATGAATCCTCAATGATGCTAAAAAACGTAGAGCTTTTATCAAACAAGCTACTTATCACTGTTACCATTAATATAAGCTAGTTAGCATGTTTTACAGTGTAGCCTTAAAACGATGGTTAGTTCAGCTCAGTACATCGGATGTACACAATGAGGCAAATTCAAAAGCATTGGCTATCAGCAATACATTTTTAACGCAAAGTCAGCCAACTAAACGCGAGAGTTTGCTGTCAATAACAATCACCAGCTCAGTGCGGCTAACGCTAGCGAAGCTAGGTTAATGCCTCCATAGATCACAACAAATATTTCTGAGCTAACGCTAGCTAGCCAATTTACTTTACCTCTTTCCAACCGAACGGGCTCCCCAAGCGATGCCATCTTCAGATTAGTGGTTTTTGATGTCAGGTAGATATTGTGTTAAACGATAGATATGGAAAACTAAATATGGTAATCCTGGCTAACGTTACGTGCGCTTAGCCGAGACGCTAAATCAGATTAGCCAAGTTAGCCGGCTAGGCTAGCTGCCAGTGTCATGGTGCGTTCAGGTAATGCTCGTAAAGTTGGTAAACAGACGGAAATCATTACTTTGTGTTCTTTACATCCATGGTTGTATTCCATAGTTAATGGATACTCGCTGGCACTAAACGATTCATCAATCGTAATTAAGTATTGATGTAATACTCTGTGTACCCATTTCACTGTTTAATATGTCATACTTTTTGTTATATTACAATATCACCCATGGCTTTGTGAAATGGACAATTGGAGTTATTTCTAACCTTACACCTTTAGTGCCTTGAGTTAAATCCTACTCTGGATAGAGGGACAGTTTTAAATTAAAAGTATTATTTGGTTTGTGTAATTGTGTGTACTCTTGATACAGGACATGCATGGTTGTTGTCCTTTGGCGTCTTGCATAAGGCCGCTGTTGGTCTCATTGCCCAGCATTCAGAAAAAAAGGGAGTAAAGGTGCGTACTGTGATCCCATAGCCTATCCCTATTTAACAAAAATACAATAAGCAAACATCCTTATTTTAGTGCATCATTCATTTAGCAGCTGTGCTGCACCTCTACATTACATTACATTGCATTTAGCTGACGCTTTTATCCAAAGCGACTTACAATAAGTGCATTCGACCAGGAAGATACAACCTTGAAGAAAACAGAATCATATAAGTACATCAGGTTTCATAGAGCCAAACATTTCATTCTAGATGCTCACATCTCAAGGGATTGTTACATAATGTGCTGTGTTGTTGTGGTGACAAGGGACCATCCGGAAGATTCTTTGGATTTTTGCTGACACTTGGGAGGAATGTCCTCTCTGCTGCCCTCTGCTGGTTGACTGGAGCACATCTTGAGACTACAGCACATAAGCATGTAAAACAACTGCAAGCATGATTCACCTCTGACCACACCCTGGTTGGTGATGACACACATCTTATAAAATACACCTAATGTGACATCACTGATCGGGGTGTGGCCAAAGAAACAACACACTTGAAAGTGACCCCCATTTAGTGGATCAGCATTATGCATTGTACTTAAAAATGTAAAAGGCCTATTGTTATGTTATTTTTCTTCTAATTATTGTTTTATCTAAGCTTTCACCACAGCTCTGGGTCGAATACATCTTACATGTAAGATATATTCACAAGGATGATTTATGATCACAAAAGACAATATGGGCTTTATTCTGACTCAAAGACAAAGGGCATTTTCAGAGTCAGTTTATTACTTTAATGACTGTGTGATCATTGGATGGCAGTTTTCTAAACTCCTACTCATGATAGAGAGCACAATGCCTTATCCAAACTGCATAACAAAAGGTTTGATTTATTGTCCTGTATGCTGAGAATGTGTTTGTGCTCAGACACGTTGTTTGAATTGTATTACATTATTGCAATTCTATTCTAAAGTGTATTACCTCCAAAAACAACTGCCTACTGCTTGTCTTCCTGTAGACAAATAGAATACCTTAGTTTATATTGACTTGGGTTGTGAGGCCATGACACACACCTAAATGTATTTTATTGGGAGATTCATGAAAATGGACACAAGTATATACTTATCATCTTTCTCAGTGTTGAGACTCTCTACTTGTTCTAAGCTGGAGGATAAGAAAAGTTACTCACAGTATCTTCATCAGCCTCCTCTGGAGGATCCAAGACATATACAGAAGGAAGTAGCACATCTTTTTTCTCGGTTTAGAAAAAGTCTTTCTCTTTTCAGCCATTTGTTTTCCAAATCTCAAAATGACAGATCTGGATCTCTTCCGAGGTCACACTTACCTTTAGGTTGACAACATAGGAATGAAATGAGCATCAAATGTGACACGAATATAATCAGTAAAGCTTTGTATCGGCTTTTTTATAGTGTCTTCTCTTTCGGAAGTACGTCATAATATGGGCAATTGTGGCATTGGTTCATGAAATTAAGATGCAAAAGTGCAACCCTTAACTATGTTAAGAGACAAGCAAGGAGTTGTCACTTTTTAATGCTCACTATGAAGAATTATAATCTGCTGCAGGGAAGGCTGTGATGAAGCTTCAGTAATCTTTTAACCCAGATACGAAACCAGGATTTTCCTCCTGCTCACAGTCAATGAACAGCTGCATACAATCTGTGATTGTTGTTCTTTTGTAGAAGATTTAAAATGGGATTACCATGCTCTGCTGAGAAAATGTTGGGTGGGTGTATATTTTAGTGTAAACAAATGTACGTGTGGGTTAATGCATCAGTGTCAAACTCAGCCTAATTGTACTAGTCTACACTTGTTATGCTAAGTTCTTATAATTGTGAAATATTACATATCGTGATGAGTCAATCTCTTAAACCCTCTGTATGAATACCAAGGTATTAAATGACACAATGTAAGTTTGTAATGTGCAGGTTTGGGAGCAGGAAGTGGCTCAGGAGGATTTTTCCACTGTAAAATATACAGTGTTTCCACCCAAAACACTACATATTACCCAATGCATTGACTCCTCAACTTTTTTTCTTGCAGCCTCTGATATGTATTTAGTATCCTGGTCATTAATGGTAATCATTTGGTGTTAGTGTGTGTGCACATGTATGTGTGTGCCGGCCTTCCTCCCCGCCTGCCTGCCTGTCATAGTGAAGTTGATCCTGCCTGGAAATGCACTGTTGAAACTTTATCGACATTGATTTTGTTTTTCAGTTGCCTATAGTCATTTTTATTTCTTCAAATATTTCAGTTTAATATTGCAAACAACTTCACAACATACAAAATGAATAATATTAACCCAGAAACATGTCAATGAATAGATTTTATATATATATACATACATATATATTTATATGTATATATAAATATATATATATAATAGTTTTTTTATATATCTTTTCCTCTGGTGGGGATAAAAAAATAAACAGCAAAGCTTTGACAACAGCACCTTGACATAGTATGTATTTCCAACATTACCTTGAGAAGTTTAGAACAGTAAACAGATAAATTACTTGAGAGGAAAATTGTTTTCTGCTGAATATGTAAACAAAATGTTTTTTGGTCAGCATCATATCCTTTTTTGTAAGTGTCAATTCACAATTGAAGCAGCATGCAAGCTTTTGAAGATGGAACTGTCCTCTCTCATTCCTTGCCTGTTTTTTTCCTTCATTTTCTAATTCTTGGCAACGTAAACAAATCACAATGTCTTGAGGGATGTGATATAGTAATTTAAACTGGGCGCAAATGACTGATCAGATTTTTTTTAATTGTTTACAAGGTCATGAATATGTTCAATAAATAGACTGTAGTATCACTTTTACTGTATAAACTTCATCTTTTTTTACATGCAGTCCATAAAATTTTCATTTGACGGAATAATTTACCCTGTTATGTATATATACAAATAGATATTTTCTCTTTATTCTCTTTTTTAAACTCTTCAATAAAATCTATACATTTTATACACTATCTCCCTCTTTTAATGGTCAATGTGCATACACATGAAGTGTCTATCCTTATAAACCGCCAGCCAATCTTCTTTTTGCTATCCATGGTAAGCGCTCGCACGTAGGACTGGGTTGTCCTGCATTGGGAATTATAATGCCGCTTGTCTATTCCTCTGCATCCCTCCTTTGTGTACCCCATGGGGTTGCATTTGGTCTCATAAAAGTATTGCTTCAGTTGGCCATTGGGGACAGGGACCTTTTCCATGACGGTAACTGTCTGCCCAGACATGTCTATTGCCGTCTTTTTATCCACAGCTGTCACCCACTGGCTAATACTGTCACATACACTGAGCTCTCCGCGCCGTGAGGGATCGGAGTGGCGCCGCACCCTCATGGACATATTAGCGGCATCCAGATAGTTTTTGTATTCCTCCAGAAGAAAGAGCAACGGCGGCTCCAAAGGCACTTGGTTGCTGATCATCACCCGCGAGTCGTACAGGTCGACATCCTTGGTCTCTGTGGTGACCATGGAGGACGGGCCCCCTCCTCCCTGGCTCTTATCAGGCCCCTGTGCCAGCTTTGCCGCCTCTCCCTCCACTTCCAGCAGCTCCTCTATCACCTGCTCAAACGTGTCTGTGAGTGAGGGCAGTTCCCCACGCTGGCCCGGCCCCCCATCACTCTGAGGAGTCCCATGGCCTCGTACGGCCGTCGCAGCAGCGCCCAAGTAGCCCTCCGTCCGATGGCCCCGCATGCCCGGGACGTCTCTCAGGGGCGCAGCTCTCATGCAACTGAAGTATGAAATAACCATAGTAAGGAACAGGATGGTCATCACTCTTCTAACCTGGTGGAACTGGAGGGGTGAGAAAGAGAAACAAGAGGGGAGGAAGGGGAAGAGAGAACAAGACTGTTATTCAAAGAGCATTTTCAATGAAGCTAGCTTATTCTTGATCCATAATGCACCATGTTTATTTATACCCTCTACCGTTTCTTTGAAAGCCAAAAAGAGAACCAGTAGTATTTTTGAATAATCAAAATTAAAACCAATATTAGCGCTGTGTTGTCACTGTTTTCCAATTGTTCGCAAACTAACATCTCTCTGTTCCTATGTGAGGTCTGGCTTGGATCTGTATTTGTTGGCAGTCACACAATCTGTTCTGAGCTTCAAATATATTGCTAAACACAAAAGATAAGATCACACAAATAGATGTCACTACATTCTTGCAGGCTTGTTATTATTTATGAGCTGTTTTTAACTGGTGTGTTAAACTGTGCAGTGTGTTTCTAGAGTGTGTGAGGAGGTGTAGTTTTATAATGGACTCGTTTTATATCTGTCATTCACCCCTCACTGCCTGGATGATGTGTTGTACTGTCAGTTTTGAAAGCTCAGACCCACATTTTTTACACTTTATAAAAGGACATATCGTATCTGCATATTCTTAAACTGTATGTTTATTAGAGCAGGTGTTTCAATGTTTAATAAAGTAAACATCACATTTACCAATAATGGATGCATGATTGCCTTCTACCATGTGATGGTCAATTGTAAACTGGGACTAATTTCCGAAAGGCTCTGCATGTGTTTACATAAGGATATGCGTTTGTTTGTTTTGTTTGTTTGAAGAGCTCATGCATTATCTTCTATTATCTGACTATGACATTACCCCGGTAACAAAATCATTATTATCAACCTTCAGGGGAACTTCCAACATAGGCAGCACTTACTGACTGATTGAGAGGGACAAGCTGTGTTTGTGTCAGCTATGAAAAACACCACTGTTGAAGTATTATTTTTCATTTTAGAAATTGTGTGCTGTAAGACAGGTATGTTACTTAACCTCACAGTCACGTAAGGGAATCAGGAGTTTGTTGAGGGTCACTGTTTGTTTTCTGCAGGTGGACGGTGAGAGCACTGCAGGATGAACTAACAGGATGTCATGAGGAAACTGCATGACAGAAAGATGTTTCATCCTCCCTGCACTGCAAAGTACCGATCTCGAACAACTCACAAGATAAGCAAATCACTGCTAAGAGGGGGGAAAGGAGCCACAAGGAGCCAGGTGTAGCGGAAATACGGAACACACATTGCTCGAGCATATAAATCCCTTACCTTTGAGAAGCTGAAATACTCACAGCAAATCAATGAATTGGTGGACATCCAACAGCCCGAGATATAAAAGCAACCATAATGAAAAGAAAATCTAGATCTTGCTTTCCACAGGGGCTCATTTAAAAATAGCCTGACCGAGGCTTTGACTGCACTCTGCATGTCCCAACTTGATACTGGAAAACACGGCGCGCAAACACACTCAGGATGGACACGAGGACGTGAACAGTGAGGGAGGAGCAGAAACCCCACCTTAAAAGCATTTGTTTCACTCTTAATTGGTATCAGGGGCCGTGGCTGCAATTAACCAACAGCACTGTGACTGCCATAGAGATATCTCGTCTATAAATAGATGTGCTGGGAGTCTCACAGTCTCGATTCAGAATATCACATCCTTCTTCTTAATGAGCCACTCATTCCCTGAGCTCAGTGACGTGCAGCTCCAGAGTGTGTGAGTGTATGTTAGCGGGAGGGCATGGGGAGGGGCTGGCTTGTATGTGTTTGCAGGGAGATGGGGGTATTTTTCCTCTCACCAATTAAAACAACAATGAGGACAAAGCCAGGAATAAGGGGATAATTACCTATATTTCATTAAATACCGCCAACAAAAGTCTATATATCAAGCTTATTAACCCTTCAGTATTGTTATGGCTTTGGTTCAAATAACAAGAATTGTCTGTGAGGCTTCCCAGCAAAGAAAATGATGTAGGTTTACGGGATCAAGGCCAGTCACGAGCTTTATGTGTAGGATGCATTTAGGCTGATATTATTCTCAGCATCACGCTCAAATGGCTCCACTTCCACATGACGGAAATGAAAGCAGAGGGCTGATTACTGTTAGGCGTCAAACTTCATGCTGGAAATGGTGCAGACGAAGAGTGCTGCATCTTCCGTAACAGACCACAGGGGTAATATTGCAGTAGCAGGGGGTGGAGAGAGTGCCAGCGTCATTTCGCAGCATAACAACCACAGATGACGTCCTTTCCAGGTCTCCATAGGGGAGAGAATGGAGGGGAGGAGGTTGCTGGGGGTAATGCCACTCAACAGTGTGCAATTGCATGCTGTTCCCCCGGGTATCCTCACACCGGGAACAACAAATGATTTTATTTCTATCTCTGTGATTTCCTGTTTCCATCAGGACAATCAATATGGCTTATGCTCTCAATCAACATCCTGTTAAAATGTGATAAAGGCAATGAATCATTTAATTGCTGTGGGACTGGCGGAGAATCTCTGGCTTATATCTACTAGAGGCTAAATGTGACAACTGATTGGTTCGCTCTTGTTTTATACATCTAGTGAAGGAACATTTTATGTGCACTGCTAGATTTCACAGTTAATGAAAAAGCGGCTTGCGAGTTAACACAATGAGCATGAATAATAAAACGAGGGAGGAACCGCATACTGAGGAATGTTTGGAATAAAATGTACTTTTTAGAGAAGCCTCTAGACCAGCTAAGCGACTGGTTTGATTGTTAAAAAGCATCTGACAAAGAGATCTTTTATCTTGTATCTTTCAAAATGAAATGTAGATTGATACAACTAATTCAGCTGTGTATAATAATACATTAAGAGTCATAGCTTCCCAAGTATGACAGTTCTTCTAAACTAAAAAGTAGATCAGTAAAGATGAGGAAAGATAAAGCCTGCAAACACACCTTTATTCAAGACAACACGCCTAGAGCATGAAACACCCAGAACAATAGGAGCAGGTGAGTGTGTGGACTCTGTCGACTGTTGGCTTTGACGTCTCTTGATGACCACCTGTTTATCTGCTTTGAGAGCGCGGCTGTATGGTGTGGATATGTAACTTACCCTCACTTTTATTCTTTGTGCCAGGTGGGGATTAAAGTGATAAATGCCTGCTTTGACAGATGCTGAAAAGTTGCTCTAAAGCATGAAAGAACTAGAATAGCTAGTGTTATTACACATTCAGTAATGTTGCCTCCCTGCAAATGTCAGCACACTTTATGGCTTCATCTTTATCAACAGCCTTAATGATATATAAGGAACTGTTATAAAGGAATATCAACAATCTAACAGCAGTGACGAGGGAACATGTGCCAACTCAATTCCAATGGAAAGGTATGACCTATAGCAACATTTGTTCTCCACCGCTACCACGGCTCCCCTGTGGGCATTCATCTTTGTTCAATTCCTCAAGAACCGTGTCGGGTTGGAGCTATTTACCTAGCAACATGTTTTGTCATGTTCAACATGTACGGTGCACAATGCCAAATGTTCGGAAGAAAAACATTGCACGTGATATCAACACTTCTATCGGAGAGGACCCCTTGTGTGCCACAATGCAGCACTTAAAGAAAAGGCAATTAGAGTAGCCTGCAGTAATGGCTGACACATGTGCAAGCTTGCTTCCTTGAGATCTGTTTTCAATCTGACACAGTTTCAGAGCATGTTTAGTAATAGATGAGCATCACTAAGGGATTATACCTGGCCTCCTGGCCAACCCCGGCCATTGCCACAGACAGCCGGCATTCAAATAGCTGCTGAGTGATCTGGGCTATCCAAATGAGTCTTTGCTTCCCTCCCACAATGCATGTGACAGTGGGCAATAGATGGACTACAGCAGCAACACAATATGTTAAAGATCCTAACTGAAGTTACATAATGGATGACTTAAGGATGACAATTATAACGAGAACAATTCCCTTAAACCTTCAATTACCAACTTTAAAACTTAACCACTGAAATAACCAACAGACTTGTAGCTCAAATTCACAACGCTGCAATTCAACACTCTGTACACTGGGTGGCGTATGAGACCGTGTAATAATAACAGCTCCTTCTTTTTTCTCCCTTTCTCCACCTTCCTCCCATCTGTATCTCCCTCCCTCATGTGAAATGCGAGATAGATAGATAGAGAGATCACAGTGTATTCAACTTATTTTCTGCATAATAGTAAACAAACTTCTCTCTTATGTGCTATGTAGTCACATCTCTGACATTTTGTCATAATATATATATAACACGCCATTAATTGACCATTTAACCATCATATAACCAGCCAGTGTGTTGTGCTATGTTCCAGATATGTTCACACGGAGCTGTCAAGAAGGAGCCAGCTTTCCACCACTCTATAAATGGAACTTTATCATTCTGCCTAGTAATTTGAAGTTATTCAAAGCGAGCACACAACACCAAGAAATAGATCCAAGCGTGTATGTTGGCCGACGTCGCTGGGCGTTCAGGTCTCGGGTTTCCTATAAAGTCTTAATGAGTTCATCAAAGTTTCCCCCCCCTTCCAAAACAACCATACATAAACTGTCTGGAGTTTTTTTTTAATGTGCGTGTTCACAGCGCAGGGTCTGATAATATAATACAGACTAACACCCTGAACAAAGAGTTTATTGAGTTATTTATGAGCAGAAAGTTGCCGTCAAATTTTCAAACGTGGCCGATTTCATACATAGGCGCGCTCCTGGACTCTTTCCACTTAGCTTCTTACGAGATATACTAATAACACGCCACATTTGCTCAGGCTACTCCAATAATGAAACCACAGTTGTTTTTCTTCGTCTCGAGATTACATCTGCTGAGCTCGTGCTCTCCACTGGAAACCCAATCAACATAATAACTCCGTTTTTTATTAATGAACGAGAGGATAAGGTTACACATATCCCCTCTCGGGCTGCGGCGCTGTCTGTGCAGGATAACCGGACTTGATCGAGCTACTTTTAGACCCCCCCACCCCTCCCTATCTCCTACCTCCACCTCCCCAACATACA